TCAGCCTGATGACTGGTTTTGTCGTGTAAAATTCTTAGCAAAACAATGGAGATTCGGTAAAGGCAATTACTGTAACTCAATGGTGGTTGGAAGCCTAGGGTCTAGCCGGTTGGAAGCCGGTCTTTTTTTTCTCTATGATTGCCATTGGACTTCCGGGCCGCACCACCGCTACCGAGCGGCTGAGGTGAGAGCCCCTCGAGCCAAAGCCCTGAAGGGGCGGCCTCGAGTAGCCCGACCACACCGGTGGAGGCCGGCTGTGAGGAGGTGAGGACCAGGGTGCTTTCTAGGATTTTAAAGGTTGGGCTGGGAGAAGAGCTCCTTTTTGGTAAGTATTTTGGGTTGAACAGAGGATGTTGGAAAGGATGACAGGTACATGAACTTTGGGGTATGTCTGTGTAAGTCTGATGAGTTTGCACAGGCAAATCCACGACAGAATCTCGGTTTTCCAGACTATTGGATAGATTCAAGGTAAAGAGTTTTGGGAGGAAGACAACTGAGACTCACACAACTTCCATCATCCACCACAACACCCACGGATTCCGTGCAGAACTTTCCTGCCATTCTCATATATTATGCTGTTTCAGAGCTATTCTCTCAAGTTAATAGCACTCGTCTCGGGGGGAAAGTGTAGATGTTGAAAAACCCGACCCCGATTTTCGCCCTCAAAAGAAGCAGAAGGGGCCCGCCGGCCCTGTCATGAGATTCAACATGACAGCCTTTGTCCAATGGGTGCTGCCTTCCATCAACCACTGCGGGGCCGCCTGCACCAGGTGCCTTTGTCCAAGAAGGCGTGGGACGGATCGAAACGGGCCACGGCCTTGCCGGAGAACGTGGTGCTCGGACGGGCCAACTGGAGAACGTCAAGGCGATCGATTTCAACAACCATTGTTTTGATGGTACCAAAGAACCATTGTGTTACGATGGATTTTAGACAACAAAACCGGGTCGACCATTTTTTTAAATGGTTATTGAAGGCTAGGGTGAATACATTGGATGGAATTCGTTTTTCCAGGAACAGCTGCACTTCCGAACAAACATGTCGTGTGGCTCGATGGGCCGATTTGCCATCCAAACAGCCATTGGGGATATGACGTACTTTCGGACCCAATCTCCCACTGAAAGGCTGGAACCTGCAAACAGTAGTCTAAAAACTACTCAAATCATCTCAATCCTAGGATGGTCCCGCGGAAGGACCCCACACGTCTTTAGGATATCTCATTTCTGTGATGGTTCTCCACTCAAATTGAGCTCCAACACAGAAGATATATAGATCATTTCGACCATAGTAGGATTGTCATTGGTCTCATGCTGCTGTTGCTGGCAAAGGGGAAAAGGGCACTAAACCTCACAAAACCCATTTCAGCAGCTTCGATGGCATCCAAACACCAAGTTCAAGACCTGCCAGATCTCTTGGATCGTTTTCAAGCTGAGGGCAGGGCTGTTCCTGAGGGTCCTCTCTTTTGACGCGTGGAATCGAAAGGTCGTGGACCAGCTGGGAGAGGCAGAGAAGGGGCACACAGGGCTGGTGGGGGGAAGCTCCAAGGAGTTTGGCGCATGAAATTCATGCCAAACAGAGCTCCTGTTTGTAAGGGTGGTTTTGTACGGAAACACCCCTGAACCCATAAGGACCTATCAAATGGACACCCCCCTTTTTGTAGGGGGGCTCGAGCGCGTGCCTGGGTGCACCGAACAAGTCTTTGAAGGCTTTCTTTTCTGCCAGGCACCTGCGTCTTTGGGGGGTCTTGGCTGGAGGAGTGTTCCTTTTTTTTGGGGAGGGAAAACACCTGCAGTTCCTGGCCAAACTGAGAACATCACCGCCAAAGTGGGAAGATTGGCACGTGTGGACTCCGTCTTGGTCATTGCCGATGGCCCCACTCCACAAGTGTGACAGCAGATCGCAAGATCAAGGCAAAGATCCGAGCTTCCTTCGTAAAACAAGAGTCTTCACCCAACCCCCCGCCGCGCTGGCGCCGTCCGCGGGTCGGCCTGCGTACCGCGTACCGCTAGACTGCCAGCGTCGCCAGCACGCAGAAGAACAGTGCTCGGAGTGCCTATTCCGGTGGGCTCGGGCGGGATTTGGTTGCGGTCGGTCGGGTGGTCTGGGGTTCGGTCTGCGGGGAGGAGGGTGGTTGGGTCTTCTGGGGGGGGTTTGAAGCTATGCACTTCTTTTGGGAGTTTGTTTTGAAAGTTTTACCAACATGACCATACCAGGGTCAATCACTTGAGAGAACAGATGGGAGGAGAACCTCCGAGGACGTTGAGGACATTTAGTGAGAGGCTTTAGACCAACGAAGTCATGAAGCAGTCATGAAGCAGTTGAAACTAGAGGCCCCTGCAGGTCAGTTTGATCTCATTACACAAAAAACACCACTCCAATGAGGTTTTCAGGACCAAGTTTTACTCGTTCTTTGAACCTTCAGGTTGACCGGTTGGTTCATCGCACACAAACATATCAAACATCCAAGCTGAGGGTACGTCCGCCAGGCGCCAGCAGCATTGGCAGCGAGTTCATCAACGACCAAATTCCAGTACATCAGCGGGAGGCGAATCTGTTTCGGGCAGCGATGAGTTCTCACAGAATGGCAGGTCTCCAGGTCTTTTTAGTGAACTCATGATCTTCGCGGTGAGACTAAAACATGGTTTTTCTTTTTGTTTGGTGTTGTCTTTTAGAAAGCTGTCGTTCTTCGCCGTGGTGCTGTCCAAAAGCCGCATGACCAGAACCTCTGTCCGGTGAGCGTTCCCGCGACGCGCCGGTCGGGACGGCGCCCAGAGCACCTGGCGCGCGCAGGGGGAGTACACCAGGGATGCTGCTGGAGGTGGAGGCTTGACATTTTGAGGTGCATGCCTCCAAGGCTGCATATTTCAGCTTGGTCTTGAACAGCCAGTTGCTGACCTTCATCCTGGTTTATCGTACCCTCAATCAATGAAAGCAAGGCAACCTGTGAGAGCATTGACAAAGTTTCTCGCAGTTCAACATGGGGTCTCCAGATTTCAGCTGAAACTTCCGTCGGTGGTAGCACGAAACTGGCGATCTGGAACTTTCAACCTCATCCAGGTGGCAATGGATCGGAGAAGGACACAAGATCCGAGTCTGCATGCTTGAGTCTGCACAAGATCCGAACCTCACAGGTGCAGCTGATAAGCAAAGCGGTACAGGCATGCGCTAGTAGCGGTTGAGCAAGTGGCAAGCGCTCATGCTCGCATGTCAAGCGGGTTCAGCATTCATCTGGAAGTCCAGTGTTTCTTCTCTTCTGTGCAAGCTTCTGGTCCCCGAAACGCGAAACTGCAGCCTTCCGACGGCGGGACGATTCGGAGCAAGGCCTATCCGGATTGGAGCATCCGGATGGGGGTGCGTGGGTCAAGGCAATCAGAAGTAGCTCCAGCCATCGATTTCCAATGACCATGTTGGGCAGAATAGTCAGGACAAGGTCGGGATGACCTCAGCCTCAGTCTTGGGAGGGCCAGCACTTGGGCGGCGAGATCTCGACTGTCCCAAACGGGTGAATCTCAACGAAGCCAAAGTGATTTGGCATGCGGCTGACTTGTTCGCTGAAAACATTGTAGACTATCCTGAAGGATCATGAAAGAAATTGATGTAGAGCAAAAAAGCCATTTTTGGGGGTCTTCGTCAGAGTGCTCCCGCGTTCTTGGAAGGCTACTATCCTAGACTATCCTCCTTTCCCCCCCCACTTCCACTTCCCTTACCTCATGCGCTGCGTGCCGTGCCCAAGCGTGCCCGCGTGCCCTCCGCGAGGTGGCAAAGATCCAGTCCCAAATGAAGAGCTTCGTGAAGGGCATGGTCCGCGGCCGTGCCATGAACGTGCTTTCGGTGCCTCCCACGATCGGATCCTCGACCCGGAGTCGTCGCCCGGTTTCATCCCTCCATGGAAGTGGGTCGACCCACATGAAGCAACGAAGATAAAGTCGTGGAAGTGGGGAACTTACACTGTTCCAGTGATTTTTCATGAATTCTCAGGGAGTCCAGGTCCAGTTGACTATTTTGACCAATGGTCTGGTCAGCCCTTTCACGGAGCTTCCTTCACTTCGGGGCAAAATAGCTGAGTCTTTGGACGACTCTGGGGGGCGACTGCAGTTCTTTCTGTGGTTCACTTGCAGGTGGCAAAGCACGGGGATCACTGCAAAGCACTCCGAAACGCAACACATGAAACGTCTTGTCAGGAAGACATCGTGCACTACGGAAAGATAGGACATATCTCATGCTCTATCACTCTATGATGTGTGTGTTTTCTTTTTCTTCCTGATCCCTCCCCTTTCTCATGCTCTATTACTCTATGATTTTTCTTTTTTGGCTTTCCCTGTCCAGTTCCCTGAATCAGTAGCGGGTCTCTGCCCCCCCAAATCCACAAAACGGCAACCAGCAACCCACTTACAATTTTACTGCAAGGGAACTGAAAGGGTATAGCTCGGTCTGTCCTATGACCTGCAATAGTCGGTAAGCAATTATCAGTATCTTAGAGAAAGGCCTTTACTAACCAGCATCATCCACTGGACCCTGGGAGCTTGGGATATACCCAAGGTCCAGGTAGGATCAGATGTAAGAATTCTGGAGAATTCTGGACTCTAACAGCATCAATGCAGCTGCGAGCTTCAAGACGGCTTCAGTTGGCTAGGATAGGGGAGTCACATGAAGTGTGGGCCGTTTTGGCATGGGAAAGAGGGAGACTACGGTGGTGTTGAGGCTCGGCTCATGTATGTCACAACAGAGCGAAACTCATGGCAACATCAGACAGACAGGGGGAAGACTCTGCCAGGTTTTCATCGGCAGGTTTCTGTGGGTAAATCGCCTGCGCGACAGTCGGGCGCGGCAGTCAAGAAGGAGGTCTTTGGAATCGGAGAGCTTGCAGAGAAAAGGCAGGAAGCAAAACTGAAGAAGTCCCATAGGGGGGGCCCTGGAGGGGGGGAGTAGCTCCTGCTGAGGCCTTGACATATTCCAACACAATCATTTATATAATGGTTTTTGTGCGGTTTTACTGGATCTCCATCCACATGCTTGAAACGACCTGCATCTCGCTCAGCCCATCTGCCGCCCCCGGTGCATGCGTGCGCTGTTTGGCCGCAGGGTGCAGGCCAGTGTTGAAGTTGGGACATGTGGTGTTTGGGTTTTCAAACTTGAGTGGGAATCTATTTTTTCCTGGTGAACATAACAAAGTAGAGGAGATTCTGGCGTGTGTAGTCTCGGCCTTGATGCCTGACTCGAGAGGAACCCAGAAACCGTCGGATGTGTGGGTTCTCCTACCAGCTTGTGATAGAAGAAGCCTCATGGACATCCCTCCATCTTCGTTGGGTTCGGAGGGTGGAAACCAACGGCTGACTTGGGATGTGTGCCACAGGGGTGCGGAAACCAACCGTCCCGTTTATGGTCGACCTGAGAGAGTCGACCGTTCATGGTGGACTGAGAGAGTCGTCCGAGTGCCATGCTTCGGACGTCCTGACGTCCTGACGTCCCGGGAGTCCGACGTCACGCAGCGAGTACGGCCGCAGCAGAGGTACAGGTACGGCGCTGGGTGATGTCGGTGCCCGGGCCGGCCACTGAAGGAGCTTCCGGAAGTCGCCCTGGAAAGCAGGAAGAAGAGGTACGTGGCCCCCCCGGTGGATTTCGAGGTCTTTCGTTTCTTGCGTTCGTCTTCCCCAACGTGATCCGGCTGGTGGTCGATCTCAGGGTCTTTCGCCCTCCCATCGAAGAGGGACGCCCGGTCGGAAGGGATGCCCGGTCGGAAGTGATCGTCCGCTTGGGCCCAGTGGGATCGTCTGTGTTTCCCTCCCAGGTGGATGAAGCGGGAGTTTTCTTACAGCCGCATGGCACCGCAGATCGGCACCCTAAGCCTCCCTGGATCCCTGAAGACCGTCAGTTGATCGACCTGGTCGTCCATTCCAAAGAGCGACCTGGGTCCCGCGCGACCGTCGCTGCGGGTCGGTAAGTCTCGTAGACCGCTCGGAGACCGCTGGGCTGAAGCATTCTGAGAGCAGAGGTTGATTGTTTCACGAAAGGACTGGGTTCCAGATCAAATAAGAAGAACTGAGTTGCTTTGGAACCTAAACAAAGAGGTATCATAGTTTACTTTTTTTCTCTGGGTCGCTGAACTAGATGGCTTGTGTCAGCCAATCAGAGGACATGATTCAGCAGAGGTTGATCTTCCCAGTTTGTAAAGACCCTTGAAGTCCAAAGACATCCGAAGACTTAACTTTCCCGAAGTAAAGGACATGCCTGAAATCAGGTCACCTAAATGACCCCTTTTAAGAATCGTCGACTGGACTCCCAGGGAAGACGCAGAAAGCAGTCGGCAGTAGCTTTCGCGCTGAAACGACCAGTGTCAATGGTAGGATAGGGAGAGAACGCCCCCCAGACACTTGGGAACAGGCAACGTATACAAAAACCCTTTTTGGTTGGGGTCTCTCACTGTATAACCGTATCCAACCAATCTAATGTAGACTCTTGATTAGTAAACCCCATCATTTGAATTGGACATCCTCTTCATATGGGGGGGTTTATGGTCCTCAAGAGTCTACATTCCGCTACATCGAATCCTTCTCCCTCACAGGGTCGGCCCTTTGGTGGCTCCCACACCGCCTGGTCCGCCTCGCCCGCCTGGAGGAGAGGCCTCTGCTTCGGGTCGACTGGCGCGCCAGGGTGGCAAGAGGCACGCGACAGCGCGGACCGCGGAGCTGCCACACATCGGAAAGACCGAAGAGAGCAGCAGATTGGTGGCCTCACAATCAGCACGAGAACACCCTGAATCAAATCGAGTTGCGGGGTTCATTTGTGTCCCATCTATACTGTGACCTGCTACTTATGTGTCATCCTGAGAGCCTGGCCTCTTCTTGTCTTCCTGGTGCCCTCCTACCCTGTGTCCTCCTCCTGTCCTTAGCTGTGTCGTGCTTGGCCGTGCCGTACGTGAGGGCTTTGTCCAGGCCGTACGTCTGGGTCTGTCTGTTTGTCCTGCTTGTCGGCATTCTTCTATCACTGCCTTCTCCGAGCCTTGTCCCGCTTTCCCTTTCTCCACGGCCTCCGGACAAGGGTATGTTCTCGTGTGGCTATGAATGCAACAGTGCTACAGCGTCTCAACATTTATATCATCCTCGGGTTTTCTCATGATCATATATCCCCTCGTTTTTGCAGATCTGACAATGGAATCAGGGACTGTTGTTTTCAATTGTTTTCAACACTTTTGTGTTTATATCATGTATATATATATACATGCCATTTCCAAAAAGCTGGAGGCTATAGGAATATGATTCCCGACGTTACCACCAACATTGGACCTCAAGGAGTTGGCGCAACAAAACTGAAACTGCTTAGGATCTATACATGCATATATTATTGTTTTTTTGTTGTTCTTTCTTTTGTGGATTAGATCCGGGAACCAACAACCAGATGGCCTCTGAAGGGAGTCAAGCTGATGGGGCACGTGTTAGATGCGGCGTCTCATGACATGCTTTGAAGCTGCAGGTCGAAGAAGAAGGCGCGAATCGTGCGCCTCGAAAGGGTTCGAAGGATCTTTATGAACACATGGAACTATTCCTTTGTGCGATGTGTTGGGAAAGGTGGGGGGGGCCTGGCAGGGGTCCTGGTTTTCAGTGGGTGACAGGGTGACAGGCTTTCTGAGGTGGACATGCTCAAAACAGGAAATTGGGTTTTGTGTGCTTGACACATAGGTTGGACTAGGACTTTTCTCTCCCACGCCTTTCACACCGACTACCTGTGGCCTTCTTAACTTCACAATCTTAACAGCCGAGCCCGTGGGTCATGCGCCAGCTCCAGGCGCAGGGCTATGCCAACGAGGGGGCTGAAAACTCAGGGCGAAGAGGGCCCAGTGGACAGGAGTGATTTGGGATGGGGATGAGTCGAGGAATGAGAGGACGGTCCCTGCCGCAGTCTCTCAAAGTGACATGGCTATCTGCCACGCAGTAGTACATGACATTGCTATCTGCCATGCAGCCTTTCGCACCCTCAATTAGTCTAAGAGTCTAAGCAGCAATGCACAGCTGGATGGGGCTGAAGTGCCTATGGCATCAAAACAGAGCATCCTCCAAACCCGCTGGTAAAAGGAAACATAGAGAAACACCTGCAGTTCGCTAGGTTCTTTTTGAACCCAGGTTCTTTTTCAGAGGCAATAGGTTTTGCAACATGCCCTTTCCACCTCCTCCATCCGCTCTTCTTTTCACCGCAGGGTGATCCTTTGGCTCACCCGCTCCGAGCTCGTGGCTCCGCCGCAAAGCCGGTGGCGGTCGTCCCACATCGTCCCGTCGGCCGTCCAAAGAATCTTGCCCCCCAACTGAACCAGAGGCATCGAATTTTTCGGTCGAACACCGTACACCTCTATGTTGCTAGGACCAGCTTGACCTGAGCACGTTCGGTCCGCTCATTCTTGGAAGATTGACAGTTCGCAATGAACTTGTTGGATTAGGTATCGATACCTCTGCCATCATCTCCTTTGCATCATTTTGGGCGATAAACGTGAGCACCAAGAAAAAAACATATCGTGAGATCATGGACATACTTTAAATTTACCCCAAGCTTTGAGCACCTCCAGTCGAACATGGCTCCCACCTTGGCGTCCGCGCACACCGCCGTGGTGCTTTTGGCCCTCTTCGCTGCACGCGCGGCTTTTGCCGACGACGAATGCGCAGCAAATCCCGGTGAAGATGAAGACTGCGGGTTGTCGATGCTGCAACGGAAAGGTCGAGGAGTCACAGGTGGGACGGTGGGACAGGTGATCGGGGAAACACGAACTGGATGACAAGGCTTCGGGCAACCAGATTTCTGGGCTCCAAAGTGGTTATGGCATGACCAATTGCACACAAACAGTCAATTCCTCAACACAGATGAGGTCCATCAAGCTTTTGTAACCTCTTGTATATGCATACTTGCATACTTATGATATACTATGCATATTTGCATGCTTACTTAGGCTTACTTGACACAAAACGCTCGGAAGGTACTGGACAAACCCAATCCTCCGAACATACCAAGCTGGTGGAGCCGCGAAGCGAAGCGCTCCCCCGGAGATGCTGGTTTAGGTGCTGACATCTGGGCACAAAAAATTTTTGCATGGATCGTCGGGTCGGTCTAGGGACGTGCAAGTTAGTGCGTGGGTGATTCCTTTGAAGCTCCTGGTTGTTAGTGCTTTGGGGTAGAAATGGGAAGGATGGGAGAGGTCCAGTGTACATATGTATAGACACACATACGCATACACTACACATACACATAGACATACACAGACATTCCACGGAATAACGGAACAACATCAACATCTGTACTTCGTGGAGGGTCGGACGACCGGCGACAGGCGGCGACCGACGTACCTCGCGTCGATCGACGTCAGGTGAGGTGGCTCCACCCCAGGTGCTGCCCACCGTGACGATTGCGCCTGACCCGCTGCCGCCGTTGCCATCGCTGGTGCAAGTGGAAGAGAACAGTACCTGCTCTGGGCTGATTCGGGCTTCGGGTATTTGTATATTTGTACTATTACTATTATTACCAAAAACACAATATATATATATAATAATAATAATAATAATAATAATAATATATATATATATATATTATATAGTATATTGTTTATTTTCCTTGTGGGTCTTCATTCCCTTAGGGGACGATTTTGATGCTTTCTTCCCGGTTCCTGGCAAATTGCTGGACAACAAACGAACGAATGCACGCTCAGTGAATTGCCTATCAGTGACTGCCAAACAGATTGGCAAAAAACACAAGAAACCGTGAGGAACTGTTGACTGGCAGATACTCAGTAGAAAATCAGGGAATGCTCTAATTTGATGACACCACCAGTAGAGGTTTTTAAAGGATCTCTTATTTGAAGTTCTGAGTAAGCACCCGAAACCCTACACTCCCGGCAGGTCTCAGTACCTTTTGGGTCTCGTTTCTGGTGCCACAACCGATGGTTTCGTCCGAACAGCCTTTTCGGAACTCTGAAGATCAGCCGCACGAAACGGTGGGTTCCGTTTGTCCAGTCACCACGCCAGGTTTGACGGCGACTGAAGACGCACTGAACACCATGGAGCGAACCATGCCATTAGAGTTAAGATGCGAACACTTTCCACCTGGCCACTGAGATCCTCAGTCTTTTGATCATGCTCGGTTTTTTTGCTTGTCCGAGGCAGTATTCGCTACTGCCAAGACCGCTGTTGGGCGGATTATGGCTTCAAACTAGGACCGCTGCGCCACGGGACGGGCCAAAGCCACTTGAGGTTGCCTGAGGCTTGGGAGTTGGAAGTACATGGCACCTGAAAGGTGTTCAATCCCTGTTCGACGAAAGGGTTCTCTACCTGCTTCCATTGGTCAGGCCACCTGGTGTCTCCACCCTGGTGATCCAACGCTTTTTCACTCTCCGGTGACTCGCCCATCTTCACTGTCCTGAAACAGGAAGGCGAACAATTGGGCTCAAGAAGCCATCTCAAGAGAGCTCAAGAGAGTGGGCGGACATGGGTGTTTTTATCGCCCCAACGACCGGAACGACCGGTGCAGTCGTGCCGCGTCCTTCCTCGATCCGTCCTTCAGACGGGTCGGTCTGGGCCGGTTCTGGTGGATCTAGGGGTTCCGGGGAGACCCTCCGGTCGTGAACAAGCAATAGGTATATATGATGGTATATGTTACCTTGGCATGAACACCCCTCTTTTTAAAATATTTTTTGGTCGGACCATCACCAACTCGATTCCCAGTGTGAACTGAAGGATGTCTCCTCTCAAGTCCCATGCAACCAACGGGCAGATCAACGAGCCCGACATCGGGGAGTCCAAAACAAGCGCATCGCTACGAGTAGCTTCTTGTTACTAGTAGGAGTACCTTCTTGCTACTAGCAGCGATGCACCTTGTTACTAGTAGTATATATATATATAATGCCCTTAACAAGCCAGGAGATTGCAAGTGCGACATTCATCATGGTTGGTACATGTGGATTTGCTGGAAGAGGAATGGACGCTCGGCGAAGTTGCGAAGAAGTCATGATACTCTTGATCGTGCTCTTATATAGACGTATACGTATGATACAATATAGTATATAATACTATACTACATATGGTATTAGAATATTATGTTATATTGTATGTTTATATATAGATGATGGAGCTGCATCAGCTAACGGGCACGTTTGGAAGATCCTTTTTTCCGTCTCTTTTTTGGCACAGACCTACCGCCATGCGGTCTGACAAAACGCCGCTTCTTTTTGGGGTGGCAAGCTGACAGGTGCGGTGGCCATGGTCAGCCTGTAGTCTTGCCGGGTTCTTGCAATGTGCGGCCATAACTTTACATAACTTTGGGGACCCTGGTTGGCCGACAACGCGGCCGCGGCCTGGAGTGTGTGGATGTTTTTGTTTGTTGTTGGGAAACATACCCGACTCACCAACTCAGATTCTGCATTGTTTCCGACAATGTAACTGAACACCTACTGTACCCTAAAAGGTGCTCGGTTCGTTTCAGGGTACACATGATACTATATACATTAGCCCAGCGTGACCTTCGAAATGGGTGACAGAAGAAAGGCCCCCCAAGTGGTAGACAGGGTTTGCAATGAGGTGGTTTGGTGGTTTGTATCATGGGTTGCAGCTCTGACCCAGCTACACCTATACTTCCGTCATTTCACCCAACAGCTTAACGGCTCAGAAGGATGCCCCATTGAACAGAAGACGCTCATAAAAAACCCGAAAACAAAGCCAAGCGGTTCCAATCTCATTTTTGAGCCAAGCCGGGATGTTCACGCCCTTGTTCCACCAACGTCCGGACGTCCCACGACCGCGGACGTCACGACCGACACGAGTCGCGGCAAAGTCTCGAGTCCTCCGCGAGTCCTCCGCTCGGACCGGCTGGACCGCTTGGGCGCTCAGGAGAGAGGATCAAAACGGAGCCTTCGGCGAACCGAAAAACGGGGTCCGGAAAGGGACCAAGGAGGGAGGGACACTTCCTGGATCTCAGTTGGCGTTGGTCGTGGCACCCGCAGCCCTCAAAATTGTGTCTCCGGAACGTCCCCAGTGCGATGGATCCACAGCCGGGTTGCGTGGAGGGAGCATGTGAACAGAGGTCTTCGTTTTTTCTCCTCGTCCTCGTCCTCCCTTTTGGGGGGGCAGGCTGCCCATAGGGCCTCGTCCCCCATGGGACCAAACCGTGTGGAGTCTCGACGAAGTGAGTCTGCGACGACCCACGTCGATCGATCCACGTTGTGAAAACGCCGCGCGGCAAAACACGGTGCGAACACTGCGTGTGGTTTTTCATCTGCGTGTGTTCTCGAATATTTTGGGAGCTCCCCAGAAGAGTGGTTCCGGGAGAAGAGCTCCCCAAGGGCCAAAGGAGTCAGGTCGGAAGCATGCGTTGGAACAGCTTGGTCGGTCAGGTCGGTCGGAAGCAATTTGGGACCATGTGCAGGCGGTCAAGGACAATTGGAACCCTTTTGAGGTGTATCAATATGCCCTATCGGGTCAGTTTCTTCCTTTTTTGGGAGGACGAGGCGGTTGCATGCTTGGCTGTAGGCTTGGCTGTAGGTGCTGTGACAAGGTAGAACAAGTGAGCCAAACGAGTTGGAATGATGAATGTAGTTCTCATCTCCGGTACCAGGATTGAAGTCGCAGTTGGGGAAAAGGAACCACCCCAAATGTCAGAAGTTGCTCAGAGATTCCTTTGGAATTCGAAGAACCTAGCAGTCTTGATTTGCCTCATGCTCTCAACTATCAAGTTGGGGCTTCACCAAAAAAAGGCTGCCAACCTCTCCAACCACTTCACCGACTCCATTCCTGGCTCCCGTTCAACCCGCGATGAACCAGAGGTGAAACCTGGTCACCGGTCGTCTCTTTGATGTCGGACCCGATGCCTTGCTC